ATAATAATAATAATAATAATAATAATAATAATAATAATAATAATAATAATAATAATAGTAGTAGTAGTAGTAGTAGTAGTAATAACGGGTCGAAATGGTCGAAATTATATTTCTCTTTATTCAAGATTAAGTCTCGTAATGATAAATGCGACAAAAGTGGGAATGGAAACATACAACGACGAATGTCGATTGTTGGACATGCTATAGAGATAATGAAAGAAAAGAAGGAAACGGTTATAAATATGGAGCTGGTTAGTACGGTGGCAAGTACAGATAGCCAAAAACATTATGAATATGGATTTCGATTAGCTCTTTTATTAATAGGGTGAGTAAAGTCAGAAAAGATTTTTTGCACAATGATTCTTGTTAAACTTGAATTTATTGTTTATAAATAAAATACTGTAGACTTGTTATTGTTCTGTTCTTAGCTGCACTCGATCGAACTATTGTGGCGACTGCATTACCACAGATTGCATCTGATTATAAGGCATTTAATCAAATCTCATGGGTTGCTATGTCTTATTTATTAACAAAGGTAAATAACAGGATTATTCAATATCAAAACTTGAGAATTGTAGCTGATCATATCTTTTACGTGTATAGACGGCGTTTCAACCAGCTTATGGCAAAATTTCGGATATATTTGGCAGACGGTCAACGTTGATTTTTGCAGTAGGCGTATTCGAATTAGGAAGTTTATTATCGGCATCAGCGCCAAACATAACATCATTAATAATATTTCGAGCTGTTCAAGGGGTTGGCGGTGGTGGGATTGTGAGTCTGGTGATGATTGTAATTTCGGATATTGTACCTTTTAAAAATCGTGCAAAATATCAAGGGATGTTTGGGGCTGTTTATGGACTGGCTTCGCTTGCTGGTCCTGTAGTTGGTGGTGCATTCACTGAGAGTGCCACGTGGAGGTAATATTTTCGTTAATTTTAGATTTACTCACGTGTTTCTTCATTGATCTCATTCGTCTCAATCATCCCTTTAGGTGGTGCTTTTATGTTAATTTGCCATTAGGTGCAATAACGGTTGCAATAATGATATTTATGCTTCATCTACCACCTCGACAGGGTTCATTAATGGACAAAATAAAAAGAATTGATTGGTGTGGTTCAATTTTACTAATACTTGGTACCATTACACTATTGTTGGCATTAAGTTGGGGAGGAGACAAATACTCATGGAAAGACCCGATTATTATCGGTCTTCTTGCAGGCGGTGTATTGCTTCTCGTACTCTTCCTAATTGTAGAAGCATTTGTCTCAATTGAACCAATTTCTCCAATTCATCTGTTCAAAAATAGATCATTGCTTGCATGCTTTGGTGTAAACTTTTTTCAGGCAATGTCTTTTTTTGCAAGCATTTATTACGTGCCACTCTACTTTCAGGTGGTAAAAGGGAAAAGTCCAAGTTCGTCAGGTTTTGAACTAATGCCGTATATTCTCGCTGTTGCTTTTGGCTCAATCATTTCTTGTCAACTCGTCTCGCGTTTCGAAAAAATTACCGGAAAACATGCGTGTGAATTTGGTGGATTCTTGATTGTTGCTGGTGCTATACTAACAAGTCTGTTAGACGCTAATTCTAGTCGTGTTGCGCAGACTTGTTATTTGGTCACTAGTGGGTTGGGTGTTGGTTTCATCATGCAAACTGTGTTTATTTGTTCAGTGTTGGCTGTTGAAGAAGTTGATGTGCCGTTTGTTATCTCAATTATGGTTTTCTTTAGATCAAGTGAGTATCCCAAAAACCATAACGTTTAAGAACAGACATTAGACAATGACCTCAATTTTGCTCATTTTTCTTTTCAAATAGTCGGCGCGGTATTTGGCATCTCTATAATCGGTACAATATTCAAAAACGCTCTATCAAAACACGTTCTAACACTTGGTTTAAATGTGCCCGCAGAAGACCTAAAAGATTCTACAATGTTTATGCATAATCTTTCAGGTGCACAGCAGCACATTGTAATAGACGCCTATGTGCGATCATTGCAGGAAGCGTTCCGTATTATGATCCCATTCGGAATCCTGTGTTTCTTGTGTGCACTCGCTATTAAAAAGACCATGAGGAGTAGTAGTGAATGTGAGGTGCAGAATTATTCAATGTGATGGTTATTTTGTTGGTGATGATGGTGTTGTCAAGAACAATTCTATATTATATAGAAACTAATTAATACCTAATTTTTGAACATTTTTTTTCAAAAGTATTTAACTAACACTGATATAAAGATCATTGATAGATATCGATATATGTACACGCGAACTTTAAAATTGCTAAACAAAAGTACAATAGATAGAGATAATAATTTGTATTATAACGATAATAAAAAACCACATACACTCTACATACAAAAAGGTAATGATCGATATAAATTTGAATTGTTTGATCGTACGACATACAGAGATCCAATTATACTCCAATTTATGAATTTTGAGTGTTGCGAGATAATTGGTGCTTGGAAGTATGGGTTTTCTGAAAGAAGAAATAGTAAATGCCAGAGCACCGGAACAAGTAATCGAGGAAATTACCGAAAAATATGTATTATTTTCTTTTTTGTCCACCGAGTATTTATAAATCAGCTATATTATAATGCTAAATATAAAAATTATGTGAAATATGTGCACTAACTAAATTTATATATACAGTGAGGGACAGTATAAGATATTCAATACTGCGCCAATGCCAATTATTATTACAGATCTTATATATATTAATTAAATTGACCAATCAGAAACAATTAAAAAAATTTTGAATATTTGTTTTTATATAATACTATAAATACCAAATTTTATAAAATTTAAAATATTATTTTTTAAAATTATAATTAACAAAAAATTTGTTTTAATAAAATTATAGCTTAAACAAAAATTAACAAATTTGTAAGAGAGATTTTTGTTAAAATTATTTGTTTTTGAGTTATAATACTTTTTATAATATTAGATATTTTATACTATCCTTCACTATATATATATTAGTAAAAATTAGAGAAGAATTTTAAAAATCTATATATATATTTATATTATATATATTAATTTTTGATTTTTTGATTTTATTTTAAATTTTATTAAGAGAATTAAAAAGATTATTTTTATTTTAATTTTTTCTTGCAATTGAACAAAATACTTGATTTATTTTCTCTCTTTAAATATTAGTTAGATATTACTTAGAATAGTTAGAATAAGTGTTAATCTTCTTTTATAAATTTTATTTTGATATAAATCAAAAGCAAAATAATAAGTTTATATAAAAAAATACTAAAATAAAATAGTAAATTATATATTAATTCAAATTATATCAATTTGAATTTATCTAATAATAAGTAAATATGCAATATAATATATTTTATAAAGTAATATTTTAAATATTTGAAAGTAATTAATTAGTTAATTAATTAAAAAAAATAAATAAATATAATAAATAATAAAAAATATTATATCAAAAATAAAATTATATTAAAAAAAAGTATTCAAGTAATATTTAAGTATATATAATTTTTATAGTCTTGCAATATAAAAAGATATTTTAAATTTTATAATTTTATAATATATAATTAATTAAAAATATATAAGTTTTTTAATATTAATAACTTCTTTAATATACTTAAAAAGAAGATTTATAAAAAACTATAATTATTTATAAATATAATATAATAATTAATAATTTATTAATAATAATATTTAAATTATTTATATTTATTATTTAGTAAAATATTATAAATTAAATATATAAAAAGTAAAGATTTTAATTAAAAAAAGAAAAAAAAATAAGTAAATATAATTCTAATTAGTATGATATTAAAATTAAAATAATATATATTATTTGTAAAATTATTTTATTAATAATTATAAATAAAATAAAATATAATATAAATAATTTTAATTTATAAACTTATAATTTTTATTATTTAAATAATATTTAGATCTGTAATTATTTTACAGAATAGAGAAAATATATTTATAAAAAAATAAAATAAATATAAAGTAAATAAATTAATAATATCTATAAATAAAATATATATAAATTAAATAGAACTAATTAATTTAATTTATATTTTAGAGAGTAATTAATTATAATTCAATAAATTATAAATGATATAAATAATAATATAAATAATAATTAAAAAGAATAAATAAAATTATAAAGAAAATATTAAAAAAAATCTAATTAAAAATATTAATTATCTAAATTAATAATAAGAATATATATAATAATTATCTATATAATAATATAATAAATTTAATTAATTAAATATATAAATAATTATCTATATATTTAATAGTAATACAGAAGTTAATTTATTATATAGATAATGTAAAATAAAAATTTAATCTAAAAGAAGATATTTAATTAAAATTATTATATATTTAATTAAAAATTAAAATTTTAATATTTGATAAAGTTATTAAATTTTAAAATAATATTATAATTTAACTAATAATTTTAAAAAATTTATAAATATTATTAAAAATTTATTATATATTATAAGAATAAACTTTTTTATTCAAATTTTATTAAAATAAAATTATTTTTATCAAAATATTATCAAGCTTAAATAAGAATTTTTTAATTTTTCTTATTAAACTTAATAATTTTATAATTTAATTTTTAAATATTATTATTATTTTAAGTTTATATATATATAAATATTTTAAAATAGTAATAGTAACTATATTTATAATAATTAACTTTCTTCTTAATAAGATAATTTACATGAATTTTAACTTTTAATAAAAATACTCTCTTAATAGAGCAAGAAAAAAATAATTAAAAATAATATATCTAAATATATATTTATTATAAGAATAATATTAGTTAATTACTTTTAACTTAATAATTAACTACTTTTATCAAACTTTAATTATTTTTCTTATTATTTCTTAACTTTTTATATATAATATTTTCAAGTTATACTAAATTACAAATTAATTTTATTTAAGAATAAGTAAGATCTTGAAAGAATTATTATAAAAAATTTTTTTAAATTAAAATTAAATATAAAGTAATAAGAAATTAAAATTAGTAAAATATTAAAAAAATTATAATTAAAAAAAAATTAATAATATTTAATTAGAAAATTAATAATCTAATAAATTATATATTTAATATGATATATATAACTAAACTATATTTAAAATTAATAAATAAATAAGCTAAATATAGATAATAAGATAAATTAAAAATAGAATTTTAAATTAATAAATAAATTATTATTTATTTCTTATATTTTTAATTTGAAAATAATTATTACCTATATTATATGTTATAATTATATTATATTATTGTATCTTATATAATAGCTAATTAATTATAATATTTTTTTCTATTAAAACTTTAAAAAAACTTATTTTTATTAAAACTTTTTAATATTATAATAAATTTATAAACTTTAATAAATTTAAATTTTTCTATAATATTTTTATTAAAAATTTATTTATATTTAATAAGTTAAAAAATAAAAATAATATATTATTAATTAAAATTAATTTTTTATATTAGTAAAGTATTAATATAAAAAAATTAGCTAATATTATATTAATTAAAGAATAATAAAGATAAAAATCTTTTATAAAAAAAGTAATTAATAATTATTTTTTAATATTAAGCTATTATTCTGATAAATATTTATAAATTAAATTTTTATATTATAAATTTCTTAAGAATTTTATTTATTTTTTTAATAAATTTTTTTTGTAAAACTTCTTTTTAATTAGTTAATAAGAAATATAACTTTTTTAAATTCTAATAAATTTTTTTATTATTTTTTAAATTATTAAATTAATAGATAAATTTATTTATTAAAATATTATAAATTTATATTTAATTTATTTTATTAAAATATTATAAATTTATATTTAATTTATTTTATTAAAAATTAAAAATTTTTCAAAAAATATTTTAATAAATAAAGATATTATAATAAGATTAATAAAATATTTTAAATTTATAATATAAAAATTTAATTTTTATATAGATTTTTTATAATAAAAAAAATATTTTTAATTTTTTTTCTTATAAATAATTATACTTATTTCATATATATAAATCTATATAATTATTTTTGCAAATTATTTCTAATTATTAATTATATATATTTTTTATATATTAACTATTAAAATAACTTTATATTTATTAAATATATCTTTTTAAAGTATTATAATCTATTTTAAATATATTATAAAACTCTCAAATTTTTAAAAAAATATTATTTATATAATACTTAAAATTCTTAAACAAGAATTAATAAAAAAAAGATAGTAGAAATAAATTAAAAAAAGAGAAATAATTAAAAAATAAGTTTTTATAAGAATAAAAAAGAATAGATATAAAAAAAGAATAAAAAAAGAGAATTAATATACAAAATAATAAAAAAATAATTAAATAATTTAAAAAAGACTTAAAATAATTTAAGAAATATTAGAATAATTAAAAAAAATTTAGAATAATTTAAGAAATAATTAGAAAAACTAAGAAAAATAAAAATAAATCTTATAAATTAAGAAAATATTATTTTAGAATAGAGATAATCTTTTTTTAATATTTATTAATATTTTTTATCTTTTTTAAATTAATATTTTGAGTAATATATATTATAATAGTTAATATAAATATTTAAAATATTAATTTAATATATAAAATATATATAATATTATTAATTTTAAACTAATACATATATAATATAATAATTTTGATTAGATTATCTTTCTTTTAGATTCTTTTAATTTAGATCTTCATTTTGCACTATTTGTATTACAGATTAGCTTTGTATTATATTTTCAAGAAGATTAATTTCATACTGAATATACAGATAATTATTATATATTTAATATATTAGATTTAATATTGTTGTGATATGAACTTTTAGTAGAAATTAGTTAATTATATTTTATTGGTCGTCTCATATCACAATTTGATT